TGTAAATGCATCCAATGAAATAATCTGGTTTATAATACTAGCATCCTCTGCTTTTTATATATAACTAACTTAATAATATCTTAATACCACATTAACACATCTAAACTCGATCTTAATACCATATTAACACATCTAAACTCGATCTTAATACCACATTAACACATCTAAACTCGATCTTAATGCCACATTAATACGCCTAAAATCTATTCTAATACCAGATTAATACACCTAAGAGACTCTGCTAGTACAAGGTTTTTCATATCTAAAGGTTATCTTAATACCACATTAACAGTCCAAAATCTGTCTTAATACCACACCTAAAGACTATCTTAACATGACAGGTTGGTATATCGAAAGAGTATTTGGAAACTATACCTGTATTTGTGGTTCAAGAAATAACCTTTTATATATGGAGATTATGCGAGGTAACTTACGCTGGTAAAAAGTTGATGGCGGAATATGTACTAAAGGCCTAAGTGTGATTCTTAAATTTTTCACGAAAAAACTATTTTTTTTCTCTCATAAGTTTGCGTGTTCATCCGCAAAACTACACAATGGGTCAGTTTGCGCTCTTTCCAATATGAGTAATTTATCGTTATTAGTCCATAAACGTACCTCTGAACCACTGAGGGACTTTTCTCACAAATCGACATAATTTTTGTCAACGGGAATGACGCGTTTGTACGTCATTGAAAAGTTTATGAGGCTTCTCATAATCTAACCTATTCAACGAGACAGTTTACTGTTTTACCTGGTTTGATATAACAGAAAAGGAAGCTGCTGGTAAAAGTAAAGGCGTGTAATTACGAGGTGTTAGCTTGTACTTCATATTCTCTACCTACTTGTCTTTCTACCCGTCTAAACTACCTGGTTGTGAGATTGGATGCTTTTTTCGTCCTTTCGTTTTTTGTTTATCTATTTATTGATGAAAGTGTTGATGAATTAGAACGTTAATGATACGTGAATCTAGAAGCTCGTGATATTTTATGTGAAACTTAGCAAAGTACAATTTTACCTGAACTAACAATAAGAAAAACAGCGTTTTTAAATATAACAATTTCATATGTGTTGTATGTGTGAATATTTTCGTAGTTCTACAAAGCCTACAAACTGTACCCCATGTTTAAAATAATACTTCTATTCTTAATAATATAATACAATAGTGTTATAGTTCTAGAGTTGCTTTATTTCTTTTCTCTTCTTCAAAAACGGAGATACCCAGTTGAAATACTGTAATTAATGTGAGTTTCTATAGAAGGAATGATATAGTGATTAACATGTTCGAACTGTGAATCCGAAGGTTCGTGGCTCACTTCCCGTTGTCGCAAAAGTCCTTCTGTTCTGTGGGTGCGCTATGAATGACGACAAAATCACAATATTCGGGCAGATTAGAGTAGCCCAAGTGTTGGCGGTGGATGTTCATGACTACCTGCTTTCCCTTTAATCTGGTAACTCAAATTAGAAACAACTATGTGCAAATATTCCTTTTGTAACATCTTGAAAAAATTTCAAATAAATTGTAAAGAAGCAGAAAGCTCTAGATAAAAATGTAAAATTAACCCTAAATCTTTAGGCATAACTAAAAGCAAAATATATGTGAACTTACATC